ATAATAAAAACAATAACATGGACAATAGCTGCTAACATTTCTTGAGAGCAAGTACCAGGTACCAGGTCCTAAGGTACCAGGTCCTAAGCTAACCACTTTTATAAATATTTTCTCATTGAATCGTCACCAGAAGTCTGGGGAGCATGTTCTGTTATTATCCCCATTGTAATGAGGAAACCAGAGCACAGTGAGTGATGCAGGTCACACAGCAGTGAGAGGCTCTTAATAGCTGGGCTTCAGTGACACCTCAGCAACCACAGGGTAGTTGTGAGTCCTGGGATTCCAGCTAGGGCTGATATATCATGAAGAGCACTGGCAGGTAGAACCAGACAGGTGAACACAAGGTGGGCCAGGGTTGCAGTAGCCAGAGCAAGATGATCACAGGTGCTACAGAAAGGGTTCAGTCTGCGAGCAGAGATCAGAGTTGGAGGTACAAAGCTACTTACAGTCCAAGTCAATGAAAGCAGACAGTGATGGGGAATCTGAAACAAGGTAGGACAACAAGATGGATGGTTCATGGTGGTGATCAGAAGATTAGGGACTGTAGTGGAACGTTCAGGAAAGGAGGTAGTGCATGACAGGTACCCAGTGGTTGCCACGCTGGAGTTTAGAGGGAGGGGATTCAATCGATGGGAGACGCACTGGCAGATCTGGTGGGGCCACAGCTCAGGGACCATTTTGGATAATGCTCAGAAATAAGGACAGGTCCGGTTACCAACCCTGGGGCACTGTATCTGGATCAGATGAACAGAAAGGGGGCTTGATACCACAGGAAAGATACGTGCCATACACCTGTGATCTCTCACCTGGGGAGCTGCTATAAACACACATAGCACTACAAGCTGTGTGCCATGGTGTCTTCTTTCTATTAGTTTCTCAAACCCATAGTGTGTAAATGATCTTTTATACCTAAAAGTGAGTGGATTCAAGGTTAACCCTAACAGAATGTCACTTTCACACTCTGACTTGCTCTCTTGAACAAGAGAGTAAGAGACACAGATGCAGCTGGCATGTTTGCGTAACCCTGGGGATGCTGTGTGAACGTGCCACACGTGCTGATATCAGTATATTTATCTCAGTAGAGAAAAGGTAGAAAATTGCCCTCAGAGGCAATGGGGACTTGGTCTGTGGAAGTAGGGCAGAGAGTGGGGCAGGAAACAACTGTGTTTTACTGTAATCGCTTCTATAACATTTCAGTTTTATTGTTTTGTTGTGTATGTGTGCATATCTGTGTGTTGTAAACTTGAAAAAATGTATTAAATTTGACTATCAAGCAATCAGTCCCGTACTAAATTAAAAGGTAGAAGGGAGCACAGAGACCATCTGCTAATATATTGTTGCAGGCAGGAAATCTAGGCAATCTAACTGGCAGATATAAGAATTTTTAAAACAGAAAGAATAGTAGCCAGAGACCATTTAATGTGGGCATAAAGAGGTTCATATAGTGCTTGGAAATCATTATAACACAGCGAGTATTACACTTTATGGGGCCGGTGGTGGTGCTGGGACTTCCAGGAAAGATCCAAGTATCCCCATCACATTCTGTTTAAGGAGGCAGGGAGCCAGGTAATGTATTTTAGCAGGGTTTTTATCAAATGAGGTAAAATCAAGAGAGGAAGATACTGTTCTTATGTGACTTCCCTTCATAACACATAAATTACAGTAAATGTTTTAGATTTTTCTAATTAAACCTGCCAAACTGCACACTCTCTGAGGACAGGGCCACAGCTGCCCCAAGAGGGAAGAAAGAACTTACATAGAGTTTCTCTTTCCTCAAGCCACAGGAGATGTTTAGTCTGCTCAAGGCCAAGAAGGGCCACAGGCCTGGCCCCAGGAGCAGACTTTGGCCTTCCATGAAATGGGAGGAGGGAGGAAGCATTGTTCTTGCTCCCAGTAGAACAGCATTTCTCAGGCCTCTGAGATGCTTCTCACTGAGTCTCACATAAAACCAAAGAACTTAATCTGCTGCCATCATTCCTCAGCTCCATCTGGCTGCTGGAATAATTGAAACTAGAAACGTCTGCTTTGATTGCTGCTGGAAAGGAAAACTTAAGTTTTCGTGGAAAACCTTAGTACTGCCTCAAACAAGAAACATTATTGGGTTTCTTGTGAAATTTGATTTCTGTCCTCTTGAGTTTTCTAGACAGGGAACCAGAAAAAGGCCCTAAATAGATGCGGCAATGGGAACTTTGGGACCCCCAGTTCAATTCATAGCCTAGATAGGTGCCAGGTAGTCCATTGAGGAGGGGGACAGGGAGAAGGGGGGTCTAGGCTTACCCAGAAATAAAGCCTCCTAGGGGTCCTCAGCATCAGCCAGGGAGCTCAGAGCCATCGGAGCTTTGAATGTGGCCCGGCATCATGAGGCGGGGGGCCAGGGTGTCTCCACACCTGTCCCTCACTGTTCACAGAGGTTGGACCCAGGCCATCTACACCACAGCGTCACTGCCTGGACCCACCTTGGAAGGCCAGGCCCTAGCTCCCCCTTCACTCTTTCTCCCTACCCCTTCCTCATTTCCTCCCTGTCTCTCACCTCTCCTAGCCTTCCACCCTCCTTGCCCCTTCTCCTGCTCCTCTCCTCCCCAGGACTTCTCTCCCCCTGCCTCCCTCCCCATGCACTGCCTCCTTCCTCCCTTCTTTCTTTGGGAAGCCAATGCCTTACCCATTAGGCCACAGGGTGACTCTCCCTCTCCTCTTTCCTCATCCCTACTTGTCTCTCCTCCCTGACCCCTTTCCCTCCCTCCTTTCTCATTCCCTCTTTTCTCATTCCTTCTCTCCATCTGACTTCAAATAGATAAAAGAGATCTTTCTACTCTAAGAAAATCAAAGGTTAGTCCCTACCAGAGGCTCTTCTCAGTTCCACATACAATAAATAGCTACCCATTTCGCTCCCTGGTTTAGAAAGAAGAGGCTATTCATTGCCAGAGGACAGTGATTTTTTGAAGCATCAGAAGTATTTTAAATAAGCTATCTCTGCGCTGCTTTCCTTTCACTGGGCAGCACACCTGCCAGCTGCTGGCTCCTCACCCTGCTTTCCCCTCCTCCACCTGGAGAACAGAATGGCAAGGGGCTTAAAGAAGTGTTTTCAGGGGTAGGAGTTAAAGGGAAGACCCCCAAAGCTCTAGGAATTGAGGCATTCACAGGACAGGTGCTGGTGGAGCTTGGGTGGGATGTCTGAGGCCCTGAGCTGCTCCCCCTAGTCCTCCCCTAGTCTTCCCAGCCTGCCTCCAGACAGACAGAGGCCCACTCTGGAGCAGAGGAAGTTCAAATTCCAGGACCCTCAACTGCTCTGGCCCTTTCGAGGCCCTGGGAAGAAACCCAGCATTGTGTTCCCATGGTCCTATGTTTTTGCAAGATTTGCAAAAGGAATATATTTTAACCACAGTGGGGTTTGATGACTCTTTCCACTACAGTTTCCCCTCAGTCATACCTCTCCTCTGGTCTATTGGCCCTGGAGTGGGCATTTGGGGGATCCGACTCAGGGGAAGCTGAGTTGGGAATGCATTTAGTTTATATTTAGTAGGATATGTGTGTGTGGTCTGCAGTCACTTCTGTGCATGGGCAAGTCATGGCTGGCCATCCCAGTGCAGGAATGGCTTATAAGAATAGTGCCACAAGGCTGAATCAAAGTTGAATATGTCCTACAGCGCCAGGCTTCAGAAGTCTGTGGGCAGTTGTAGAAAAACAAGGCTTGAAATGTCCTGAGCCTGAAGCTAGTCTGTGGAAAATTCTTCCGATCATGAGATGTGTAAAATTCCAAGTGGAGGATTCCGTTCTCATTGGTGCCCCCATCAAAACAGAATTCAGGACTATATTCGATGACGCAGTGTATACACTGACAAGCCCACTGTGCTTTGTTTATGGGAATTGCACAAAATGAAATTTACCAGAAATCTTGTGTTTTCAGGGCATTAATATGTAGCAGCACTGCACACAGCTGGCATGTCTGTAAGCAGGCATGCTTTAGTGCCTCCCAATTATCAATAATTTCGATCGATCTTGTTAGAGGAAAGGCTACCTTATCTTCCTCTTCTCTCTTGTACAAAATCATTGCCATGTAAAGAAAGTATCAAAGTATGGAGGCAAAACTTACAGAGGAAAAAGTTATTTTAAAAGTGTGTTAGGTAGTTAATTCGAGTATGAATTATTTTATGGATTTTGAAACGTCTGTTGCATTTGCCAGATTTTTAAATCATGAAACGTTTTGTAATTTACTTTTTCTTTCCCAAAAGTCAGTTCCATACCTAATTTTGTGGTCATATTTTTGTATTAATTTTTTTTCTTTTTTCTTTTTTTACTGTTTATCTATTTTGAGAGACAGAAAGAGCATGAGCAGGGGAGGGGCAGAGAGAAGGGGAGACAGAGAATCCAAAGTAGGCTCTAGGCTCCAAGCTGTCAGCACAGAGCCCATCATGGGGCTCGAACCCACAAACCATGAGATCTTGACCTGAGCCGAAATCAGACGCTCAACTGACTGAGCCACCCAGACACACCGTATTACAGGCTCTTTTAAAAAGAGGCCCCCACGTCAAATTGTTTAAGCCTCAGGCCCCAGAACCCTGAATCCCCTCTATTGGCAGCTTTGGTGAGCATCTGGACAAAGGCCTGTTCTTTTCTGTCTCCAGGAGTCTGCTCCAACCCAGCCCCCACATTCCAGGAGCAGTTTGGTCAATGAGTCCTGCAGGGATAGCAGGTGGCCTTTCCTCCAGGATCTCTATTTTCAGGGCTGTGGACATTCTCAGGCTCCTACTGTTATTGAGAGACAGCAGTGAGGAACAGGAGTTGGTGCTCAATCTCACTAGCTGTGCTGAGGCCCAGCTGTACAAGTTCTTATTTTGACACGAATGCATTTGAGGTTCTTTTGATTCAGGGAGAGGTAGGATGGTTTTCTGCCAAACCTTTCCTTTGATCTGTATCATATTTGGTTCCAGTGATCTGCCACACAAAACTGTTGCGTCTCATCTGCAGCAAGGTTCTTACCAGTTTTCTCATTTCTTTAACAGAGTTGGTGTGGATCTGGATGAAGATCTGAAGGAGCCCACCTCACACCAGGCAAGTCAAAGAGGCCAATTCATAGAGTATAGAAATATAAAATGTTCTGTTCCATGGAATCTTCCATGCTTGTCCAGCATGTGGCCAAGGGGCTCAACCTAAAGGGCACTGCCTCCACTGATAAAACACATCCAATGGCTATAAAATACCTGGGAATACAGGGTATCGATAACCTTTGTATAACCTTTAGAACGCTTAGAACTAGAATGCACTTGCACCCTCTCTGTGGCAACAAGAAGCTGGAAACTCTACAGTATAGAAGCAAGAGCATGGTTCTTGGAATGAGGTAGCCTGGAGTTCAAATCCTCTGCCCAGGGACTTGCTAGCTAGGTAATCTCAGTGAAATTTATTCAGTGCATGTCCAATGCATGTTGGGCACACATGCCCAAATGGACCTGTTTCTCCTGCACAGCTTCTCATTAATCAGGTCTACGTGTATAGAAATATTGAAACATTGAAAATTTGCAAAAGCACAACAAAACTGTCTAGGTGATCCATTCCTAACTTAACCACACAACATTCTCTGCAGAGACCTGAAAATCCTTAGGGAAATTTGTTCAAAATAATGTGCTGTTCCCTCAAGTACAGGAAATGTATTCCCCAAACTCTGAACTTGAACCTGACATCGCAGTAGAATCTGCCATTGGCAATTTTGCATTAGCCATTTCTAATTCAGTACTTAAAACAGTTGTGTAGGAATGTTGCACCTTTTGTTGAAATTGTAAGCAGATAGACACAGTAGTATAATATAAATAAGTGATGTTGCTTAATGACTCGTGTTATGATCATACCTGGATTTAAAGAGGATCCATCTCTTTTATTTTGTGATTTTTTTTTTCTATAATGCCATCAGTGAGGCACAGCTGGTTAGTGCTCCTGGGCAAAATGTTGCTACTTTCCTGGTTTACATAGACATAAAGAAGGAAGGATCCTGTGCTCTATAAAAAGGCCTGGAAAATTAAGTTGGTGATGATCCTGGCTTATTGTACTTTCAATTTTTTTTTGTACATGTGTTTCAAGGCCAGGCTGGTGCTGTTTTCTCAGACTCCGTAGCCCAGGAAACACACCTCACTGCAGGAGTGAGCACAGCAGGTGTGCCAGCACACTGGGATTGGGGCCAGCTTGGTGACCTGAGAAGGGAGAATAAAGCCCATCTCCTTATACTCATGGGCTGTAATGAGTAGTTAGTAAGGTGCCATGGTGACTGATTTTTGAAAAGCATTTTCATCTCATATAGGTCAACTAATCCATCCTCCTACCTTCAAGCAAAACTTTTATCTAAATTCTATCTTTCTCTTCTATCTTTTTCTTTAAAAGAGATAGAATAAGAAAATGCATCAAAGCAAATTCTTCATCTTTCTCTAGCTGCCTAATATTTTGAAATCACATATAATTATTAGGAAGATTACCTAGGAGCCTAACTCCTTCCTTTTACAATTTAAACATTTTATTTTAGCTCATTCACACCATTGTTAATTCAGTAATAACTCCTACCTGAAGATACTTAAACCAGTAGAAAGTAGTTGTTGTTGTTGTTGTTGTTGTTGTTGTTGTTGTTGTTGTTAGAGACATGAGATAGGGCAACTAGGTCCAGTGAAAACTGCATTGTATTTGAATCTCCAACAGTTGTTTTACCTCTTTGAGTCTCAGTTTCCCTATGTGTAAAATGTGGTTGATAATAATGTCTACTTCTCCAGATTGTTATAACGATCAAGTGAAATTATATTTATGAAAACTACGAAACTTAATTTAGTTAAACCCATCTCATCTTATGAAGGATTTGTGGCAGCTTACCCATAGAATAAAATAATAGTAAAATAATTTAAGAGAATTTTAAAATTCAATAAATAATATTACTAACAGCAGAAAGTCAAAACCAGAGGGATAAAGAGAATCAAGAATAAGCAGATCATAAGGTCCTATATACTTGCTTAGTCAAGCCACAAGTGAGCTTTGGTAGCCAAGGCGGGGAAAGAGGAAAAAATAATCACTAATATACTAAATTATTATCATTAGAGGGAAAAAGTGTACTCTCTCCTCAAGCAGTACAAAACATCACAGGCCACCGTTTTAAAAGATATTTCTCACTTGGGGCTTCCTGTACAGGACACATAAAGAGCTGTACAAATGTTAGCTAACTAATCTTATTATAAATTACATGGTTCCTACTGAACTTCTGCTCCTTCAAATAATTTTGTTTTTAAGAGGTGTCCTGGAAGTGTTCCTATTCATAATAATATTTGACTACCAAGGTAGCTACATTTCAGAAAGAGATTTTCTCCAAACCTTGGAATAATTCTTATCTTCTGTGTCAAGTATAGGAAACAGTGGCATTGAGCTAGAAATTAAAAAAACAAAACAAACAAACAAACAAACAAACAAACAAAAAAAACCAGTGTCCATGCCGCTGCCAACTGACCTGGACATTTTTTTTGTTTTTTCTTTTGGTGGGTTTTTTGGTACTTTCCAAACCATGTGTCAAGAACCTCTTTGCCCTCATTTTGCCTGACATCTCTTTGCTTATTATCAGCATCTGTTGCTCTGAAGGACTGAAGAGCATAAACCCTCATTCTTAGGAGGATTGCATGTTTCCACTTGGTTTGCATGTATTCAATTGGGCTTGTATTAACAAATAAGATGATTTTCGCACCAACTTCTAAAAATAGAAGAAAAAGAGGAAGACTATTTTTACCAAAAGCTAAAAATTTTACACTTATGGCAATTACTGATTGTATACTCTCAAAATCAGTAACAAACACACGTTATTATATTTTTTAAGGAACTTCTTCTTTCTCAGTTGGTGGACAGTAAAACAGCCTTTGGGAAATGCGAACTTCTGTCACTAACCAGCAATGTCACGATTTTCCTTTTTGCCTTGCAACAGCTTTAGAGTGTGAATGGTATTATACTTTTGCTTGTACCAGACCCAAAAGCTTTAGAAAGCATGTTCTACATACAGGTATTAAAGTTTAAATATGTACTCTATGCAAATGTGCTTCTTTGAGAAATGGGAGATAGTACAGTTGTGAATTTTATGTCTCTTAAATTTAAAAGCAAAAACAAAAGAACTCTGAGACTCCCACCCCCTCCCCTACTCCCACCATAAGAGGTTTTCCTTGTAATTGATGCTGAGTTTTTGAAAACACAGCACTGCACAGAAGTTGAGAATCACTGGAGCATCACACTTGCCTTAATATATTAATAGAAATTCCTGCTGCCCAAGAAGGCTCACCACTGTTGCTTCTTTTTCCCTTTTTGCCATTTTTCTCATAATCATTCTAACATTTGTTGAGTACAGACTATTGTTAACACTTCTAAGCACCTTGTCTGTATTAATTCAATTTCCAAGATAACCCTATCCCTATGAGCGGATACCATTGTTATCCCCATATTACAAATGAGGAAACTCTATACAAATAAGTTAAATAGCTGGTCCAAGGGTACATAGCAAGAAGAGGTGGAATGTTAATCTAGACAATCTGGTTCCAGAACTTCCACTCTGAAATGGTATGCTCTCATGCATTCATTCATTCATCCATACAATCCACCATGTCAGAGACTAGTCTACATGTGAAGAGGATGCAGCAGTTACCAGTTCAAAGTTTTCACTCACAGAGCTTTTGTTCTAATGGACAATGCTGATGAGAAAAAAGGTAAATGATGTGAGTACAGCAGATAAAAGGATGGTGAACAATGGAGGAGAGGCTATTGCCTCATCAGGGCGGGCCTTTGTTTTTATTTATTTTTTTTTTTAAGTTTATTTATTTTTGGGAGAGACAGAGAGACAGAGAGAGCACAAGTGAGGGAGGGGCCGAGAAAGACAGAGAATCCAAAGCAGGCTCCAGGCTCTGAGCACAGAGGCCAATACAGGGCTCGAACTCACAAGCCATGAGATCATGACCTGAGCAGAAGTCGGACACCTAACCAATTGAGCCACCCAGATGCCCCAGGGTAGACCTTTCTAAGGAAGTGGCATTTGATCAGAGGTCTGAATGATGCAGAAGTGAGCCGTGTGGGATCTAGAGAAAAAACAGCCCAGAAAAAGGGTACCGCAAGGATGAAAGCTGTAGAGTCACAATGGGTTATGGTGTGCTCCATGAGTAGCAGGAAGGCCAGTGTGGCTGTGAATTGGTGAACAAGTTAGGAGAGATGGACATGAACTGGGAGAAACAGAGAGCAGCCAAATCATTGGCCAAGGTGATAAGTGTGGTTTTATTCTACGTGTGATGGAGGGAAAACCCTTAAAGGTTTGGAGCTTGGAAGTAATGGAATCAACCCTTTTTAAGAACTCATTTTTCTCCCATCTGTACTCTTCCAGCTATTACAATGAGGTTAATTTTCATCTTTTCTAACATAATTTTTTTTTTTTAACACTGTGCTTCTCTATGTGCTCTCTTAATGCTCACTTCCAATTTTTTTGTTGTTGTTGTTCCCATAGTTTCTTCATTGAAATTCTGGTTTTGGTTGTCACTTATGCTTCTGTGTAACCTGTGTGGATCAGTTCTGGTCACTGCAGCTCAAGAAAGTCAGAGCAGAGCTGAGAAAGGTCCAGAGAAGGGCAACTTCAATAACTTAGCAGAGGGAGATTAAAAGGATTACTATTTCTCCTGCAGAAAGATTAGCACTAAGAAGGAATACAATAAAGTATCTATAAAAATATGAAGAGTGTGAGTAAGGTGAATGAAGTCTTGTTTGCCAATTCCCAGAAAACCATAACCTGGAATACCCCTAAAATCTGAAAGCGCTCATTTGAGGAAGAATAAAAGGATTTGTTCTTCTGCAATTGATACTTATTTCTCATGGTCATCTAGAGTTGCAAGGGCTGGAAATATAAGTAGGTTCAAGAGGAGAAGAGATTAATTAGCAGATGCTGGTATCATCTCATCTTTAAATAAAAATTAATTTTTCCCTGTGAATTCTCAAATCTAATATCCTAATTAACATATAGGAAACAGAATAAATATTCATATATATATGAAAAATATATATGAAAAAATTAA